TTGGTAGGTTTCACTAACAACCTAGAATTTGACTTTTTTTTTTTTTGGGAGGTAGGACGTGTGACAAGCCCATCTATTCCTATCGAATCGCTTAGGTCCATTTTCAAGTTACAGTTGGACCAGAGGCACTTTCTATCTCATGCACTGCCAGAAAAATCTCTCAACTCTGTCATGTTGAACTCCAAAAGGGATACTGAATATCCATAAAGAACACAGGACGGGAATGAGATGGACGACGTGAGAATGGTGCGACATGACACCATGCCCAAAGAGATTAGAGATAATGCATCAGCTGGACTATAAAGTCAAGGATGGCCATTTGCAAGATGCTCTTTTATAAACAATATACTTTATCTCCACTTTTGTACAAGGCTACAGATGGAAAAAAAACGACATAAAATACAGTTGGAGAGGGTAGGCGGTACGACTAGGATATGCAAAAGGAATGACAGAGAGATCTCGCAGGTAGCAAGCACAAAGCTCCCGCTGCACAAGGGAGCATGGGAAGAGGATGGAAGAAAGGAAGGAGGGAAGGAAGAAAGAGCTCCTCAATACAAAAGAGTATTAGCCTCGATCTATGCGGCCTTGGACCGTCTGGACGACGCTTTCCGGCCAGATGTGCCAGCATCCTGGCTATTTGCAGAGGCCGAAGAGCCGCCAGCGGCGGGGGCACCCCGCTTGTTGTTGATGTTACTACTCTCGGAAGCATTGTCACCGCCACCCACAGAAGAAGTCGCCGCGGCAGCGACGATGGCCTTGATCGGCGGCATGTTTTCCAGCATCCGTGAGTCCTTCTCGATAATGAGCCCTCTCAGCCATTTGATCTCCATCTCCAGCTCCTTAACACGCGCCTCCAGCGTCTCCGATTTCGCCGTCATCTCCTTCGCTGTCCGCTCCAGGGCTTGCTCACGCAGTCGTTTCTTCTGACGGAAGCGCGCCGAAGCTGCCGTGTTGCGCCGGCGCTTGTCTTCCTCCGCAGCCAGCTTCACCGCATACTCTGGATCGTCCTTGGCGAGAGACCCCTTGCTCAAAGACGCCGATCGACGCTGCAGCGATGAGGATGCAGAGGCACTGGACGTTGACCCTTGGTCATCCTTGCCGGCGCCGCCCTCGAAATCGTCATAGTCCTCGTCACTTGACTCGCCCTCGAGCGAGGCCAGATGAGGCGCATGCTCATCAATCGGTGTCGTCACGGGCAGGGACGAAGACAATGATGATGACGACGACGGTTGCGGTGGTGGTGGTTGGTTGGACACGGGCGGCGTGGTAATTTGGAGCGCCGCCAGTGACATATTACCAGTCTCGGACTTTGGAGAAAGCGCTGCACCCTCGTGAGCAGAGGCACTGGCAGCAGTGGTGACGGCCTCGGAGGACGTAGTGTGGGCGCCCTGTGGGGACGGAATGGGCAACCGGGCGAGACGGGCGGCTGTCGGTGGAACATTCGGTGTAGTGCCAGCGGAGGTTGAACTGGGGTAGCCGCGGTGAGCGAGTGGAAGCAACCCTGCTGCTTGCTGGCCATCGGCAATGGCTGCGTCACCTGCGCTATATAGGCCGATCATGCTATGATGGTAGTGAAGGGCCTGCTGAAGCTGCTGTTGTTGCTGCTGCGGTGTCTGGACATGGAAGCCAGGTTCGGCCCCACTTGCCGTAGGATTGGGCACCATCTGATGGATAGGGTTCCGCTGGCGAGACCGCTCAAGGACGGAGAGTGTGCGGGGGTCGGCTGCTCAAGCATAACAAAAAAAATAGTGAAAAAAAGAGGCGATGAGGAAAGGTATACCTCAATTAATCACAAAACCGCGCAACGGACCGAAGGAGCCTATTAAAGTTTGCATTATCACTTGTTGCTGTGTCCTTACCTGTCTCCACATGATGGAAAGAGTGTTGTTGTGGTGGTTGAGGGCGATACTGAAGCTGATGTTGCGCACCTGGCTGTTGTTGCTGTCGCTGCTGTTGTTGCTGAAGATGCTGCTGCTGCTGCAGTTGCAAGGAAAGAAGTTGGTGCTGCTTTTGGATCAAGAGTTGACGGTGGTGCTGAAGCTGAGAGTCGTGTGAATGCGGCGATGATTGTTGCTGCTGATCACCGGGAAGACCATTAGTGCCAAGCTTTAGACCAAGGTCTTCTTCAAATGCGCCACCCTCTGGGGGTATGTCGAATGTGAACTGAGCATTCGCCCAAAGAAGCAAGTCGTCGTCGGGAAAGTTTTGGACGTCGTCCAGATCGTCTTTAGATGGGGAATCGGCAGGAGACACTTGGTTAAAGGTGGCAATGAGTGCCGAGTATGGATTAGGGTAGCTGTCCATTTAGGAAGGAAAGGTATGATAAAGTCTGAAAGAGGATGAGAATGAGGAGGGAGGGGCTGTAGGGGAGGAAGGAAGGAAGGAAGGAAGGAAGGAAGGAGGGAGGGAAGTGAAGGTGATCAATTGTGAAGGAGGATCGAGACCCCGTCTTTTCCGTCTGACACGAAGAGGAGTAGGGAATCGAGGGATCAAAGTACGAAAGATAGACTTCACAGTTGATGCCAAGCAAGGCAAAAAGATATTGAGTAGTGGTGGAGCACGATGGATAGGCCTCGAAGAACGAAGGAAAGGAGGTGTGAAAAAAGTTATATCGAACGGAACTGTGCAAGGTTGTCAACAGCGCTCAAGAGCAAGAGATAACAGTAGGGGGTAAAAGGGGCACAGACGAGGATTACGCAGAAGACAGCTGCGATGGTGGGATTACAAGTTAAACACTCGGATAAGGTCAAGAAGGAAGACAGTGGATGGAGGGAGGATGGAAGGGGAAGAAGAAAGTCCAAGAGGGCTGCCTTTTGTATGGATGCGCTCTCGTTCTCGGCTGGGTCGGGGGCTAGGGAAAACGCCGCCTCCGTCCAAGGACGAACAGGCCGTCAGTAAAGGCAGGCAAAGCGTGGAAGCGACAGTTGGTGTTCTCCAAGGGTCTTTAGCGCGTGGACAAAACACACTTCTGAAAAATACAGTTGCCCCAAACACAGTTTTCTGTCGCCGATCGATAGCGAAAGACTGACGAGTCTGTTTAGTAGCAGCCTGGGTTGCCTTGTAAGTCAATTAGGAAGTAAGAAATAAAATAAAGGAAAACATGGAGAAGGAGCAGGAAACGTGGGCATGTGGGCTTGGGGGTACAAGAAAATGACACGATAGACTTGCTTTCTTTGTCGATAACACATTCATTCGCTAGCAGAATGGAGGATGGCAGCACAAAGTCATCAACTCGGGTGCTGCAATGCGGGTGAAAGGAGTTGTAGAAAACAGAAACATGCTAAGGGATTAGAGCACTGAAAGGGTCCGACAAAAAGGGACAAAAGTACAGCATTTGTCATGTCAACAAGCGTCCAAACACAGTTTGCCCATTCCATCTCCCGTCCTCAGTTTGCCCTCCCTCCAGCCCTCTTTAATACATTCATCCTAAACACATGCATCGACAACGATAGTCCGAAGGAATGTGGGGCCTTGATCCCCATGGTGCACATGTTATTAGTAGTATTCTTGATCCTTTGCTTTGAGACCCTTCAGATATGAGCTCCCAATTCCCTCCTCCTCCTTTCCTCCTGAGATGGACGGCGGAAAGAGCTGGGAAGAGTGGCCAATGAGTGGATGATGTGATTGCCTCACAAAACAATGCAAACTGTGTTTGGGTCATTCACACCACTTACCGCTACACAAACAAGCAGGTGTTGTCCCTTATAGCCTGCAGCGACAACAAATGCAGTTAACTCGGCATCAAACACACCCTCATTCGCTACAACTTTAGATTCGCCATCGGTATGAGCTGCCAATCCGGTGTGCCGTCGCCGCACTGCTCTTACAAGCAGTCTCCCGGATTTTGATATATAGAATGGTCCCTACACCAGCAAGTGGGCACATGGAGTGTGAGGCAATGAGAGCACAGCGAAATGGAAGTCAGGATCTAAAAAAAATCTGGGCACATGGTAAATATGGGCGCCTTGTAAGTTTACGGCCTGAGTCAACAATCGCCATCCGTTTGTTGTCCTCGCAGTCGTTGCACTTTCAACCAATCTCTGTAACCGCTGATGTTGATGGCGAATTCCACCAAGCAGCCACACTACTCTTCTTCTTGCAGATCGGTGGCATCGTCCACAAAGGCCTTTAACTGCATTTTTTTCTTTCGGTCAGGTTCACATGACGCACCTTAACAATTCAAGGCTTTGAGCCACTGAGAGGTTTATCGCCTCAAGACCAAGAACGTCAATCACAGGAAAGTACACCTGTTGGAGTGCGAAGACATCAGTCAAGGCAATCGCTAAGAAGGTCAAGTCCACGGGACTTAAAAAACCACGCAGTTCACGCCCAATTTGGTTGAACTATAGTGACTGTCAATCGGTCGAGTAGGCAATGGGTGGTCCTTCGCCACCATAGCAGCCGATGGCGTGCTTTCTCCCACTCCTACTTCGTTACCTGTTGGCAGTGCCGATTCGTACGAGAACGTAATTTATCTGCCACATTTCTGCTGCCTGTGGTTCTTGGTTGAAAATGAGACGGAAAACTCTATATGAGCTCAAAATGTAACACTACCGAGGCTCGCCGAGAAGTGTGCGCTAACGAATGAGGCCCTCTTCAGAGGAACCATGAAAGAAACCTCCATCAAGCTTGTAGCTGGCTGATGGCTAAAGGATCATTAGTCTTGTCATAATTTGTCACATGGGGAAAAAATCAGTCAAGTCGCCATCCACAGCGGTTACTGGAATCAGTCTATTTGACAACCCAGTTGCTACGTATTGGGTGGCAACCCCTTTCCCAAAACGCCTTAAGAACCCACTACGACATGGCAAAAAATGTCAAACATTACCATATAGAAGTTGCCCTGGTTTGTTTGGCAACTGAGTTGCGATCAAATCACTTCGGTCGCGCCCGTGGAAAAAAAAAAAAAAAAAAAAACACCTCGGTTATTGGAGCAAGAATTACCGGATGTAAAAGTGAACGGTCCCCAGCTGTTACACTGGATGATTTGGTCTTTGAATTGACCACGGCAGGGCTCGAACCTGCAATCTCCTGATTCGTAGTCAGACGCCTTTCCAATTGGGCCACGCGGCCGTTCATGTCGGGGAGAAATTTGAGACATACATGAAGATTCGTCAATTAAGGCCTCAGTTACGCCGCCAAAATGTGCTCTTCTGGCTTTGGCTTGACGATAAGCTGGCGACCTGGACGGAGCATGCGATTAAAAAAGCCAACAAGTCCATCACGGCCAAGACCAAGCGCAGCAAAGACCCTGCTGCTGGCACACAACGCTGGACAGGTGGCTATGGCTTTCTACGCCCGCAGGAATCATGCTAGTTTGATGGGTGGGTGTTGAAATCTCACATGAGGGAGAGATATAGCGATGGCGAGGGAGCCGAAAGGAGGGCCGAGAAAAAGGACCCCTGCTCCTCGTGTGCCTCTTGTTACCAGCGCTGCCTACCCGTTTTATTGCTCACAGCAGCGATACGCAAATCTTTCTCTCAAGCAAGGCCGCCCCAGGGCCGTCTTCACCAAACTGAATATGCTCTGGAGGCTGTGAAACAGGGATCTGCTGCCGTCGGTATCCGTTCCAACACCCATGTTATCATTCTTGCCTTGAAGGCACAGTTATCTGGAAAAACGACCCAGTGATGTGTTCCCTACCACCTGAATCGTACTTGTTTTTTTTAGGGAGGCGATCAGCAGCCTGACAAAGCCTCTCTCCTAAATGCAATTCCTGCTTTCATTTTTCTTGTGGTATTGACGCTAATTCTCTTTTTATTTAAAATCATTTAGCGTTCTTCGGGCGAGTTGGCAGTACACCAGCAAAAGCTGTTCAGGATCGACAACCACATGGGCATTGCCATTGCTGGATTGGTTTCTGACCCACGTGTGTTGGGGTAAGTAAGGACATGGAATGGATGGTAGAGGGCGACTATGGTAAGGCTATGGCTAATATGTCCATAATGGGGGTGCATGAAGTCCAAGATGCTGTATGATTGTCCTCTTCCAGGAAGCCGATTAATTTCGATGATCGGCGACAAGGCACAGGTCAACACTCAGAACTATGGTCGTCGCCCTGACGGTGTTGGATTGTTGGTGGGCTGCTACGACGACGAGACAGGCCCGCATCTGTACGCGGTTACTGTACATCGAGCATTCCATAGAAGTTCCCGCCCGCCACTCTCATACAAACCTTCGCATCATGCGTCTAGCGATCGTGGTGGCTGTTTGGGAGAGCTCCTTCCAACATCACGAGAAACACTTCTTACCTGCCATCGAGGAATCTCGTAAAAAAGAAAAAAAAAAAAAGAAAAATACAAAAAAAAGACACAATTAAGAAGGGGACAGCTGAGAGGAACGAGGGGGAGAGGGGGCTATGACGAGTGGCCTGGAGGCCAAAATCGCCGCTCAGAAGTCCATGACAAGGGATTCCGGGGGTGGAGAGGCCAGGATGGGAGGTGGAGGGGGCGGGATGAGACGTGGAGGTGGCGCGACGAGGGGTGGAGGAGGCAGGGCGTCACCTTCATAATGAAGGCGACTCCGCTTGCCCCTAGCGGAACGTCGTCACTGCCATCTTCGCGAGAGCGTTTGCGTACTCTCGCCGGAGGAAACGACGAGAGTGATGGTGGTGGCGGAGGGGGCAGCACGAGTGGCGTCGAGGCCAAGATCGAAGCACCGAAATCGAACTCGGGCTCCTGCCGCCTCCGCTTGCCGTCCCGCCGCTCACCTTCGTCGCCACCATCATCCCGAGGGTGCTTGCACGAAGACCCTGGCAGAAATGGATAAGGCGGGGGTTGTGCCTGCACCAATGGTCTTGCTGCCAAGATAGAAGCACCGAAATCCAACTCGGGCTCTGGTGGCGACCTCCATGTTGGATCCTGCTTGTCTTCATCGTCTTCTTTGTCTTCTTTGTCTTCTTCGTCCTCTTCGTCCTCTTCGTCTTCTTCGTCTTCTTTGTCTTCCTCGTCTTCCTCGTCCTCATTATTGCTGAAGGTCTATAGGGGAGGAGAGATGAAAAGCAGCAAAGATCGCGGTCTGTAAGTATATAATCATACACGAGAAACGCCGATTACGAACAGGAATTAAAAGTGTGGCAGACTCGGAATAGTATCCACGCATACCTGCTCCAAGAACGAACGATCGACACTTGACTGGTGGAAGGTCGGCGATGGAGGGTGGCTATTGTCTCTATCGTCCTCGACTGGGATCTCGGCCCTAAATTCGTTGTAGCAATGTAAAGGCGCAAAATAAAAATTAGAAAGAGAACGACATACATACATGGCTGAGACAAGAGTAGGCAGGGCGAATATCGCCATTAACTTACGGGTCGCAGACACGGCGGCAGCTTGTCTCCGTAAGGTCGCTCTCAACATCCTCCGTAGTACTCGGTGTTGGGCGGAAGGGGTTCGATGGGTCTTTGCCCAAGCGACAGGACTGCGTACCCCGATGGTATAGAGAATCTTGACGACGGACAATCAGCGCCGTGTCGGACATTGGACCACGCACGCTACGACAAACTTTGTCCCGGTGGCCAGCACC